GGCAGTCCCCGGAAGGGCTGGAGCAGCTGGAATGGCCAAGCGCCTCCTCCGGTGCCTCCTGCTCAGGGGCCTCCGGTCCCAATGTCCCTGAGCACTGGCGCTGGGGCAGTGGGAGGGTGCACTGTCCCACCTTCCCCCAGGTGGTGGCGGCCTCATCTCCTCCCAGCCCTGATGGCTCCACCTCCTCTACCTTGTCCCGCTGTTCCTGTACCTGGACACTTGCAAGGAGCTGCCCAGAGACCGGACTGTCCCCCTCCAGCCAGTCAGCGTCCTCGCCAGTACCCGATGCCCTTTCTTCCTGGCGCAGCTTTCGCTGAGTAGCTGCAAATTCATAAATTTCCTCCATTTCTTCTTCATTCACTTTTTCTCGATCTTCTTCATGGCCCTTGGATTTCCACAAAGTCTCCGCTTCCTCCTCTTCATCTGCCCACATTGACCTCAAGAGTTCCTGGAAGTTCTCCGCCCTGCTTTCACAATTCTCGGCTTCCTTCTCCTCCCATGGTTTGCCCTCTGAATCTGTAGCAACGGGCACCTGTTCACACAGGTGAACAAGCTCGCTCACGCCAAACCTGTAACACAAAACACCGGGAGTCATCGCCACTCTGCATGGAGGTAGGCTCTGGGCATCCCTGTGGGGTGGGGGACCAGAGCAGAGTCTTCACCAGGAGGAATGACCGTGACCCATGCCCTGCTCCCTCTGAAGGCGGTACCCACACTCCTGCCCAGAAACACCCAGGCCACTTAGTTCCAGACACCAGAGACTCAAGACACTCAGCACAGGGCTTGCTAACTACAGCTGCAGACATAAAGGGGTGTGTTGGGCTGAGTGTGAGGTAACAGGGATTGGCAAGGCTGCAAAACTGGGGTGTCTGTGCTGCCTCAGAGGCCCCTAAGACACAGCGTCAGGGCCAGGGATGGTGGCTCATGCCTGAAATCCCAGCACTTTGAGAGCCAAGATAGCAGGCTCGCTCAAGGCTGGAAGTTTGAGATCAGCCTGGACAACACAGAAAGTCTCCATCTCTATAAAAAAATATAAAAATTAGCCTAGGAGTTCAAGGCTGTATTAAGCTGTGATCATGCCACTGCAATCTAGCCTGGGCAACAGCAAGGGACCCTGTATCTAAAAAGATAAAAAAGGCCACACAGTGGCTCATGCCCATAATCCCAGCACTTTGGGAGGCTGAGGCAGGAGGATCGCTTGAGGCCAAAAGAGTTCAAAAAGAGCCTTAGCAACGTAGTGACACCTGTCTCTCTAAAAAATAAAAAAAAGAATGAAAAAACTTGGCATCAGACACAATCCATAGCAGACCCAGTCTGTCGGGTCAGACCCGGCCAGTTGGCCAGCCAGCCACCTGTTTGAAGGCTCTGTGACCTAATCAGTTCATTTCACATTTCTAAGAAAGCAGCGGAGGGAGGATGCAGCTTTGGATGGGCAAGGCTTCATCAGTGGCAGAGGCCCTGTCCAGAGGTACAACACTTGTCCCTGCTGAGCTGCCGCTTCTCTCCTAAAATGCAGTTGGACAAGCCAGGGGAGCTGTGGCATACCAAGATACAGCCTAAGCATTCTCTCCACGCCTGTTTTCTGGGACTCTGGAAAGGACCCATTTGTTCAGGTCACTGTAGCCAAGGGCCATTCTCTTCTTTTTTTTTTTTTTGATATAGTATAGTGGGGTTTAGTGGCCTGATTCAGCTCACTGCAGCCTCTACCTCCCAGGTTCCAGCAGTTCTCCTGCTTCAGTCTCCTGAGTAGCTAGGATTACAGGCACACGCCACCAGGCCCAGCTAATTTTTATTGTATTTTTAGTAGAGACGGGGTTTCACCATGTTGGCCAGGCTGGTCTCGAACTCCTGACCTCAGGTGATCTGCCCACCTCAGCCTCCCAAAGTGCTGAGATTACAGGTGTGAGCCACCGCGCCTGCCCCATTCTCTTCTTATCACACCCAGGGGGGGCTAAAAACCACGGGGCTTGGCCGGGCGTGGTGGCTCAAGCCTGTAATTCCAGCACTTTGGGAGGCCAGGCAGGCGGATCACGAGGTCAAGAGATTGAGACCATCCTGACCAACATGGTGAAACCCCGTCTCTATAAAAAACAAAAACAAAAACAAAAAAACCTCATGGGGTTTGACAGTCCTCGCCATCCAGTGCTCGGCACCCCTGCCAAGTGTCTGTTCTGGTCTGACTTTCACCTAATGCCCCCTGTTTCACAGAGTCATCGCTGGTCCTGGGCTTGGGATTAAAAGGTATAAACAGGACTCTTAGTTCGCTCAGCCTCAGCCCCGACCCCTCTGCAGCACAACCCTCCCCCGAGCTGTCCACCTGCCAGTTTCAAAGGCTGGGGAGCAATCCAGACCTGTGTGCCAGGGAGCTCAGCTCTGAGCTCAGGCCAGGAGGAAGGCCAGTGTCCGCAGTGTAGAGATAGTGCAGGAACGTGCGGGCGGCCTCGGTGCTCACGTCACCCAGCAGGACACGCTGGGTCAGAACCCCATCCTCTACAGCAGAGAAGCCTTCGTGGTTCACCTGAAGGTGAAATGCAACATGAGGGTTTACTGGTCAGAGAGTTGTAACTTGGAGCAAAGCAGACAGTCTCCAGTGTCCTGCAAGTCACTAGTCTTTTTCTTTTTCTTTTTAGAGAATTTCCAGGAGTGTCTCCTCCTGTTGCCCAGGCTGGAGTGCAGTAGTGTGATCATAGCTTACTGCAGCCTTCAACTCCTAAGCTAATTTTTATTTTTGTTTTGAGCTGGAGTCTCTCTCTGTCACCCAGGCTAGAGTGTAGTGGCAAAATCTTGGCTCACTGCAGCCTCTGCCTCCTGGGTTCAAGCGATTCTCCTGCCTCAGCCTCGTGAGTAGCTGGGATTACAGCTGCATAGCACCACGCCTGGCTGGTTTTTTGTATTTTTAGTAGAGACAGGGCTTCACCATGTTGGCCAAGCTGGTCTCAAACTCCTGACCTCAGGTGATCCACCCTCCTCAGCGTCTCAAAGTTCTGGACTTACTGGTGTGAGCCACTGCTCCGGGCCCCTAGGTTAATTATTAATTTTTTTTGTAGAGATGGGCTCTATGTTGTTCAGACTGGTCTTGAACTCCTGGCCTCAAGCAATCCTCCCACCTTAGTCTCCCAACGTACAGGGATTTAAGGCCTGAGCTGCATGCCGGGTCCCTAGTCTTCTAAATAGCTCCATGCCCCAGGTCAGCGTTAGCCGGTGCTGATGCACATTCTTGGCCAGTAACTTTACAGGTGAGGCTTAACACTTCTCTGCTGTCCAAGCGTATTGAGAATAGACATGCCGAGACCCAGTTAGATTCCTCCTGACAGACACACCTGGGCTCCAGCACTTTGACAGAGACTGATATAGCTCCCTGAGTTCCTGCTGACACTCAGGTCAGATGCTTTCAAATCTGAAAACAAAAGGTTCACCAGCACCTCAACACTGAAGAGATAAATTGTGAGCCTTTGTAATGAGGCAAATAGAGAAGAGAGAAAACAATTCTGGGAAACAATGAACTTTCATTCAACAGGATGAAAAAGCTGATGTTTCCCAATTCTGAGGCCACCCCCTCACACCCACTCCTAACCTCAAGCATGGGTCTTTATCTTCTCCACTGTTAGAGAAAGGGGATGGGAGGGTGGAAGGGAGGTGAGAACATGGTGGGGGTGGGCAGGAAGTGAGGGAGACAGGGATGGGGGGGGCGGGAAAAGAAGAGCACCTGAGGCAAGGGGAGAGCCTAGTCAGAGAGTCGGGGAAAAGGACGGCATGTGTACTTACATACTGGATGAGAAGCGGGCATCGAGCGTAAAGCACGAACTTGTGGGCATACAGCACCTCCCCGCTGTCCGTCTGGAACTGGATGTCACTCAGGTGTGGGTTATTGACCATGGTGCCAAAGTCAGAAACCAGCAGCCCAAGTGAGAGCTGCAGTGGGAGGGGAGGAAGCGCCGTCACCTCGCCTGCCTCTGCTCCTCTCCCTGCGCAGTGGGAAGCTCCCCACAAGGAGGTGGCACTAGGGTGGGCCTCAAGTCGGGACCTGTGCTCTCCTTTCCTCTCCAAAATGGTTCCCACAGTGGGCTCCACCTTTGAGTGACCCTAAAGCTGTGAGCGGCACAGAAGAGCAATGCACTAGATTGTTCCTCTGACTATTCCAGGGGGTTCCCTGGCACCCGTGGAGAGGCCAGATGGGGGGCTAGATGTGAACCCACAGCGCTGGCAGCTCCTGCACTGCCTGGGCCAGGCCGTGGTGTACCTGGGCTCTGAGGAGGTGTACCCATGCCCTGTGATGGACAAGCACCCTGAGTCCAAGAAGCTTGGGGACCTGGCCAAGAGGACAGCTGGGTTCTGTGATGGTGTCCCCAGGCTGGCCCTTGGCCTGAAATGCTTGGCTCTGACATGCAAATGGGAGGAGGTCCACTCTAGGGACAAGCCAGCTCCCACCCCAGGTCCTCCCCACACAGCACCCTGACAGGGAGGCCAGGCCTGACTGCTCCGCTGTGGTCTGGAGCCCAGCCAGGACCTGCACAAAGGGGAGGGACAGCAAGCCCTCAGTAAGCTCGCAGCTACCGGGGAACAAGCAGAGCATGCCTGGATGGGGTAGCCGCACTGAGAAACTGTGGTCCCACACACCTGGGACTCCAGACAGAGCAGGCTCTGGGGGCTCAACCCTGAGGTGCCCCACGGAGTCACAGACAGAAATGGCAGAAGTCTCATGGCAGAGCCCCTAGAGGAACACCAGGGCAGCTGTGGGCCTGTGGCTCTGCTCACAGCTGTCAGGATGTGGCAGCCTTCTGGAAAGCAGAGACCTTTTGGAGAGGCCCTTGCACTTGCATTGGGGGCTAGAGGCCAGTGGTGAGCTGACCCAACCACACACATGGCAGGTGGGAATGGCCGGGACCACAGAGCTTGGGGCAGAGCCAGTCCTTACCGAGGCACGGCCACCCCTGTCCAGCTGCTTGTCCTGCGGTGGCACCACAAACCCAGTCAGAGGAAGGCTGCTGGGCACCATGTCCAACCCTGAGTGGAGGGTTTGCAGGTTAAAGGAATGCCACGGCCCAGCCACGTCCACCACCAACAGTGCTGACCACAGCCCAAGCTGGCCCTGCGATGCCTCGGGAGGCGCTTGCTGCCCGAGGACGCCTTCATGCAAAGCAAGCCCGCGCGCCCGTTTCACCACCACCCACCAGGGAGGTAAGTGAACAGCAAAATGGACACGGTTCACCCAGAGGGTTCCCTCACTGTGGCAGACCGCTCTGTCTTTGGTTAAAGTGGAAGGGAAATCATGATGGAGTTGTCTACACCACATTCACCTTTGAGAAAAATGCAAAGTACCCAGAGGCTGTGTGTTCTCCCAGCAGGTCAGAGCTGCTGTTGCCGTGGTGCAAGAGCCAGTCCTCAGCCACCGGGAGGGGAGTCCTGGGACGGCAGGGCCAGCCCCAGAGTCCCACCCAGCATCTCACCTGTAGCCTCTTCTGAGCCAGCCGGGCCCCCACTGCCGGGCCACTGGCTGGCACTGAACCCCTCCGTCGCCAGGTCCATGAGGTCCTGCAGGGCCTGGTGCTCCCTCTGGCTGGCCGAGGGCGACGGCTCCCTGGAGTCACAGCCTGCAGGTGGGGTGCTGTGGAGAGCGGGTGACCTTCGTGTGCCCGGCTCTGACTGCTCAGGTGGTACCAGCGGTGGCACAGACTCCTGAGTGAGGCCCTGAAAGAGGCCGGTAGGCAGAGTAACCATGTGGCCACTGTCACTGACAGGCACTGCAGAAGCCGTCACATGTGCTGTGCACGGATGAACTTAAAACTACAGAGCAGGACACTGGCTGTGGGGACGGAGGGTCCCCGGAGCTCCAGCCACAGCCCAGAGCAGCCCTGGGATGCTCTTCTCCAGCACTCATGTCAGCAGGCTCCTCCTCTTGTCACGGCCAAGGCCAGGCCTGTGGCATCTGAGTCTGCTCAAAGGCTTGTCAGAGGCCAGTGGGGTCCAGGCCTGCCACCCTCCTAAGTCCTGCAAGTGGCCTCAGGCAGGTGTGTACTGACTCCAGGGCCAGCTGTTGCAGGGCCGTCTGCAGCGTGTGTTCAGAATGCAGGTTCCCAGGCTCTGTCCCAGGCAGTCTGCCAGCCGCCCCAAGACTCTGCATTTTCAACAGCTCCAGGAGCACAGTCCGTGGTGGAAACTAAGGGTCCTCCCAGATCCTACCAGCAGGCCATGTAGTTGCTGTACAGAGAAGTTAGGTGCAACCACCAAGCGTCCCTCTGGCTCCTCCCATCTCTGCCTTTCTTTCCTGGACTTGCCATCACCTGGCTGTGGATCCCCAGTATAGCAGTTCTGGAACTGCCGGCCTCCCCCAAAAGCCTGTGGCATATGCCTGAGGAGAGGGGCTCACCTGGGCGGGCTGCTGGGGCACGAGGGGAGGGACCAGGCTGGCTGTGTAGAAGGCCTCCATGGCCCAGGCCCCGGTCAGTGCGCTGCCCTCCCACAGAAAGCTCTGCTTGCCTTCAGGTGGGGGCAGACACCAGCCTGCCTTTTCCCGCCCTTCCTTTAAAATCCTGCTGGTGGGAAGTGGTGGCGTGCTGGACAATTCCACTTCCTCAGAGAGGAGTAAGGCCACACGGTCCTCTATCTGTCGGCCTGTGGTCTCGGAATCCTGGACTAACAACAGTGGAGGTGAACCTGGAGGTTTCTTCTTGCGACTTTTCTTCTCTAGAGAGAAACAAAAGTGACACTATCAACGGTGGGGTCAACCCACTCACCTGGGACCTGCTGGCGTTTTCTCTCCCAGGTGGGGGCTGGCGGTCTCTGTTCTTGGCCACACAAACCTGCTTCCGGTCTTATCCTCCCAGAAAAGGCACTTTCCAGCCTGAGTGCTGGCACAGCTGCACATGGCTCCATCTCTGACCGGGACAGAGCCATGGCCATCAGCAGGTCCTCAGATGGTGTCTCGTCTATCTTCCGCCTCTTCCGTGGCTCCTTCTTGCTCGAGGGTCCTCTCCGTTTCAGACCTCCACCATGATCGCTGAAGCTAGAAGACAACCACAGAGAAAAGCTATTGGGGCTAGAGGCATGTGCACTTCTGAGGCTGGTCACACTGGCCTGGCAAGGGCTGGGCCTGAGAGAAAAGATGGATGCGGACCCGCCAGGCAGATACATCCCCTGCTTCTACTGCCTTGTGTGAGCTTACTCAATCCAGGCCAAAAGTTCAGCAGGGCCCAGGCACAGGAGAGCCTGGGTCTCTTCATGTGCTGCTGCCCAGCAGGCTCACGGCAGACGTACAGAGCCATCTGCAGTACCTGCACATCCTCATGTGGCCCAGCCCGTCCAGTGGAGGCAGCAATGGATGGCTCTGAGCTGGCTCCCTGGATTCCCTCCACCTTCACCCACCAGTACTTTACACAGTCCTGGCCACACCAGCAGAAAAGGGTCCCTTCCTACAGGGGCTCCAGGCCAGTGCCTCTGCCCATGGCCAGAAGGAAGGGCTTCCCAGCTTAGGCTGCCAATGGTCGACGTTATACCAGCCACCCCGGGACTCTGCATTTGCAATAGGCAGCAGCTCGTCTGGTTTGGAGGAAATGAACAGAAGTGTTTCCAGCTGGAGAGAACCTAGGCTGCCTGGGCGACTCCCAACAAGCTGGGCAGGAAGGAGGAGGGCAGCGGCAACGCAGGAACTTAGCACACTCCGAACCCACCTTCCCTGCACTGCAGTCATGCCTCTGGCTTTGCAAAGGCTTATGCTCTCCACTGGGCCAGGGATGGCTCAAGTTCCCCTTCCTAGATAAGCACAGCCTCCCAGAGGGAAAAGAGCTGCCTGGGCAGCTAGATCCCCCGCCTCTGTGAGGGGAACACAGACTCTCTCCCCTCCTCACTGCCCAGCAGGCCAGGTTTGGGCTGTGGGGAGAATGCAAGTCACTCTGGCTGGGGTGTGCATTCTGATGACCATAGGCTTGGCCTTTGGGGTTGGGGGTTTAAAGACCCCATGGGGCATCCAGCTCCTGCAGTTTTCTACTCTAACGGCCTTCTACATGGGCCAACATACATCTGGTTTCAGTACTTGGAGGTATTCTAAAAGCAGACATGGAGACCTTAACTGAGCAGGTGGTTTTGGTGCGGTCCTGCCAAGAAAGCAACAGTGGCTTAGATGACATCTATTCTAAGGCCCCAAGGCATGCAACCCTGCCATGCTGCTGTGGAGGTACTAAATACAGATAGGCTCCCTGCCAAGAGAATCCCCCTCTGCCCTCTACCGTCTCAGCCCTGGCCCAGCTCAGCTGCCCATGACCTGTGTGCAAAGCAGTGGGTGGGACAAACAGCCATTGCCTTTGGCCTTCTCTTTGCTCCTGACAGCTGTCCCAAACCTGGAGGCGTCAAAGGCCCAAGTTGCCTCTGTTCCTGTGAACCTGGTGTCAGCTCTAGTGTCCTCAGTGGCAGGGCAGTGTGGAGCAGGGCCAGCCCTCTAGCACTTGGGTGGCTGTGGTTTGAATGCTGAGGACTTGTTTCCTGGCTGTGAGCAGGGCCTCTCATTTTAACTTTTAAGCATTAATTTATGCAAGATTTTTTTAAAAAGAGGGTCCTACACTTCTGTTTCACCAACTTTGTTGTTGTTTTTGTTTTGTTTATTAAGAAAGGGTCACCGGGCACGGTGGCTCAAGCCTGTAATCCCAGCACTTTGGGAGGCCAAGGCGGGTGGATCACGAGGTCAAGAGATCGAGACCATCCTGGTCAACATGGTGAAACCCCGTCTGTACTAAAAATACAAAAAATTAGCTGGGCCCAGTGGTGCGTGCCTGTAATCCCAGCTATTCAGGAGGCTGAAGCAGGAGAATTGCCTGAACCCAGGAGGCGGAGGTTGCGGTGAGCCGAGATCGCGTCATTGCACTCCAGCCTGGGTAACAAGAGCGAAACTCCGTCTCAAAAAAAAAAAAAAAGACAGGGTCTGGTTCTGTTGCCCAGGCTGGAGTCCAGTGGTGCAATCATAGCTCACTGCAACCTCGACCTGCCAGGCTCAAGCGATCCTTCTGCCTCAGCCTCCCAAGTAGCTGAGACTACAGGTGAGCAGCACCACGGCCAGCTAATTTTTTGATTTTTTTTTTTTTTATAGTGATGGGTCTTGCTATGTTGCCCAGGCTGGTCTTGAACTCCTGGGCTCAAGTCATCCTCTGCCCTGGCAAAGTATTCAGGTTACAGGCATAAACTACCATGTGTGGCCAATCACCAACTCTTTGAACTGTGCTGAAGAATCTGATATTGACCTTGTGCCAGTGGGACTACACTGAGGGGAAGCATGCAACAAGCATGTAACCACACACCAGTGAGACGGACGCAGTGAGTGACCAGCAAATCCTCAGCTGTGTTAGAGCAGCAGTCCCGAACCTCTTTGGTACCAGGAACTGATATGGAAGACAGTTTTTCCACGGGACAGGAATGGGGGAAATGGTTTCAGCATGAAAGTGTTCTACCCCAGATCTTCAGGCATTAGATTCTTAAAAGGAGAGCGCACCACTTACCTGACAGGAGGCGGAGCTCAGGCGGTAATGCTTGCCTGGCCACTGCTCACCTCCTGTTGTGTGGCCAGGTTCCTACAGGCCACAGACTGGTACTGGCCCAGGGGTTAGGGATCCCTGCACTAGAGGATACCAATTGCCGGATCATGGGATTGGAAACTCAGGAAGAACCTTGAGGGAAATGGTGCAATGATCATTTCTGCACACACCTAAGTGGGCAAGTCCAGAGCCTTCCAGAACACAGACTGTCCCCTCCTCACTCCCTTCTAGACAATGCCCGATTTCCACCTTAAGTGTTTCATTTGTAGAATCAAAGAGGGCTCTATTTTCCTCCAACACCATAAAAAGCTTTCTTTTTTTCTTTAGGCAGGGTCTCACTGTCGCCCAGGCTGGATTGCAGTGGCACTATCCCGGCTCACTGCCACCTTCACCTTCCAGGTTCACGTGATTCTCCTGCCTCAGCCTCCCAAGTAGCTGGGACTACAGGCATGTGCCAGCACACCCAGCTAAATTTTGTATTTTTAGTACAGACAGGTTTTCACTATGTTGGCCAGGCTGGTGTCGAACTCCTCACCTCAAGTGATCTGCCTTCCTCGGCCTCCCAAAGTGCTGGGTTTATAGGCATGAGCCACTGTGCCCAGCCCATAAAAAGCTTTTTTAAATAGAAAAAGCTCTGAGTGCACAAAGCATTACTTGGCTTGGTTTTCTTCCTTTCGTCAACTCACCTGGATACTGGTGGGCTGCCGCCCCCCTCAGACTGTGCTGTCTGCAGCCGCACGGCCTGTAGCAGGAGCTGGGGGCCCACCTCCATCTTCGTGGCACACTGCTTCAAGTGACTGGTTCTGCTCTTTAAGGTGAGAAACTGTTTCCCACAAATGGGGCACTCAGGGATCTGAGGCACAGAAGGTCTTAGTGCCTTTTCAGCTTCATCCAGGCACCTACAGGAAGACCATAAATACAGAAAAACTACCTTTCCCGGGAATGTGGATTGTAGCAAATGTGGGTCCTTGCTGACATGGACATGCTGTGGTCAAAGGAAATTCCCCAAAGCCAGTCCCCTCCATACAGCCTGACTGTCTCCCGACAGCCAGCCCCAAGACACTACATTTAGGTATCTATTAACAAAGTTGGCCAAAGAAAGCACGGAAAGATGAAATGCAGTTACGCAATGGCTTAGAAATTCCACTCCTAAATAGAGACCCCAAAGAACTGAAAACAGGTACTCAAATACATGAAACCCACGTTCACAGCAGCTCTAGTCACAATACCCAAAAGGTAGAAACGATCCAAACTCCCAACAGTGAGTGAAAGAATAAACCACAGTCATACGCCTCATCTAAGACTGGGAAGGAAACTCAGCCTTACCCATAATGAGATACTATTCAGCCAGGGAAAGGAGTGAAGCCTGATCCATGCTACGACACGGAAGAACCTCAGAAACAACACAGGGAGTCAAAGAAGGCAGACACGAAAGGACAACTGTGCGATTTCAGAATCGGCAAAGCCATCCAGACGGAAAGTTGATCAGTGGTTGTCAAGGGAGGGAGGGGCAATAGGGAGTGTCTCCTAATGGGTGTGGGGATTCTTTTGGGAGTGATGAAAATAACCCGGAAGTGATTGTGGTGTGCAACTGTGTGAATATCCCCAAAGCCACTGATTTGTTCAGTTTAAATGGGTAAACTATATGCTCTGTGAATTATATCTCAATGAAGTTATTTTAAAAAGGGGATAGGTTGACAACACAGCTGAGGTGCTATCATCATGGTAAGGTGTGGAGATCCCCACCCCAGCCCTGGGGCACCCGGGGATTCTGGTCACATACACAGGAGTGGTGACGGCCTGAGCTGCCCCCACCTGTTCACATGCTGCTCCCTTCGTGTCACGTTCATGGCTGAGAGGTTCTTTTGACAGATCTGGCAGAAGAACAATCCCTTTTCCTCCAGGCTATCATCATGTGCCGATGCTCTGACCCGGGCAAACTCCTGCTGCAGGGCCAAGGCCACCACGGCGTCGCTCCCTGGGGCAGGGAGCCCAGGCCCATTCCCTGCAGAGAAGCGCCGAAGATCCGTGAGGATAAAGTCCAAAAACAAGCTCACCCTCAGACCTCGGCTCTGTCGGCTCTGGCAGACCATGGGGAGCGGGTGAAGCACCAATAAACCAGAACCCAGCTCCGCCCTGCAGGCCAGGTGAGTTGGGCACTGCCCAGCGAGACTGTACACTAACCAGCGCTCCTGGAACAGCTGCCTCCAGCTTTAACATGCATATGCATTGCCTGGGAAGCCTGTCGACACTCAGGTTCAAATTCAGGGGGTCCAAGTGCAGCCTGAGGCTCTCCACATCCCTAGCAGCCCCTAGGCTTGGCGATGCTGGCAGAGCAGGACCACTCTTTGAGTAGCAAGGACCTAAACTTCCCCACTTCTGCAGAAGTCGGCTACCTCAGGCTTTGAAGGTCCACAAGGCTCATATTCCATCAAAGCTAGATGTTCTTTTCGAAGCTCAACCTTTCCTGCTACCCTTTTACTGCCCATGAGAAAACGAGGGCAGGGTGAAATGCCGTAGGCAGTTAAAAGACAGCAGCATCTCTTACTTAGCATCTGACCAAATGGACGGATTCTGGTCTTGGGATGGCTCCCAAGGTGGCCCATCAGATACTGCTGGAGCAGACCCCTGTCACTCACAAGGGATATGCCCTGAATGCCTAATAAATCCCCAAGTCCTTGATGGCTGTGGCCTACCAATGCCCGCCAGTGAAGCCAGCAAAATAGCACACCTTCATTTTGGTGCCCTGTTTTGTTTGGTTTTCTTTTTTGATATGGAATCTCACTCCAGTGTCCAGGCTGGAGTACACTGACGTGATCTCAGCTCACTACAACCTCCGCCTCCGGGTCCAAGCGACTCTCCTGCCTCAGCCTCCCAAGTAGCTGGGATTATAGGTACCCATCACCACACCTGGCTAATATTTTTTTTTTTTTTAGTGTTAGTGTTTTGAGATGGAGTCTCTCTGTCACTTAGGCTGGAATACAGTGGCGTGATCTCAGTTCACCGGAACCTCCACCTCCTGGATTTAAGAGATTCTTCTGCCTCAGACTGCTGAGTAGCTGGGATTAGAGGTATGTGCCACCACACCCAACTAATTTTTATATTTTTAGTAGAGAAGGGGTTTTGCCATGTTGGCTAGGTTGGTCTCAAATTCCTGACCTCAGGTGATCTACCCACCTTGGCCTCCCAAAGTGCTGGGATTACAGGCGTGAGCCACTGCATCTGGTTTGGTTTCTTAGCGAAGAATCGTTTATCTCTTTCTGGGCACTTGCTGGGTGTGATGTGAAGATAGAGGGAGAACTGAGTCAAATGCTGGGCAGGGGCGGAGCTTACACACCAGCTGGGTGCCTCCTCCGCGCCTCATATGTGCATCCAGGACCAGTGCCTCAGCAGGATATCACATCTGCCTGCTGTGGCACCTGGGGCGGCCTGAGACTCCTTGGTGAAAGCTACTGTAGTGAAATCTGCAATGCAGTGCCAAGGGCCTGCAGATTTATTAGCTCTAGGTCCACCAATAATAGTTTCTTCTCACTTCTTTTCCTTTTGTATATTTTCATCAAAGTTGATGGTCCATATTGTTTCGGGGATGAAGAATGGGACCATCTGGCATTATTATGCTTCTTGGGGTGCGGCCACAGCAAGCACACAGCAGCTATGGGGCACTGTCACTGCACTGTCTTACCTAGAGCCAGTGAGCCTCTAGACCAGAGAGTAGGGTAACCCAATGGTTAGAGGAAGGGGTTAAATGATCCCATAAAGAAATAAATTCAGCAAGTGGGAAATCTTGTAATACAATTAGCCTACCCCATTCTTCTTCTTTTTTTTTTTTTTTTTGGAGACAGAGTCTCATTCTGTCACCAGGCACCAGGCTGGAAGGCTGGAGTGCAGTGGCATGATCTCTGCTCACTGCAACCTCCGCCTCCCGGGTTCAAGCAATGCTCTTGCCTCAGCTTCCCAAGTAGCTGGGACTACAGGCACATGCCACCACGCCCAGCTAATTTTTGTATTTTTTAGTAGAGACGGGGGTTCACCATGTTGGCCAGGATGGTCTCGATGTCTTGACCTCATGATCCGCCTGCCTCGGCCTCCCAAAGTGCCGGCATTACAGGTGTGAGCCACAGCGCCCGGCTGCCCTCCCTCTTCAAAAGGTCCATGCCATGGTTCCGGGCAACGTGGCGAAATCCAGTCTCTACTAACAGTAAAAAAAATTAGCCAGGTGTGGTGGTGGGTGCCTGTAATCTCAGCTGCTCAGGAAGCCGAGTGACAAGAGTTGTTTGAACCTGGGAGGCGGAGGTTGCAGTGAACCGAGATCATGCCACTGCACTCTAGCCTGGGGGACAGAGCAAGGCTCCCTCCAAAAAAAAAAAAAAAAAAAAGTTGCTGGGTGTGGTGGCTCACACCTGTAATCCTAGCACTTTGGGAGGCCGAGGCGGGTGGATCGTCTGAGGTCAGGAGTTCAAGACTAGCCTGGCCATCATGGTGAAACCCCATCTTTAAAAAAAAAAAAAAAGAATAAAAAATAAATAAATAAAAAAGTCAGTGTCATGAGAAAGAAAAGAAAACAGGGGGACTGTTCTAGAATCCAGACCTTAGGAGGCTGCTGAGCTGCAGCAATATGTAGTATGTGAACTACTGAATACTTGTTCAGAAAAAAAAGAAACCTGCTACAAAAAGTGACCTTGAGAGACAACTTGGGACATGTGAATTAGAACTGGGTGCCAGGCACTATTATGGAATTAAGTGTGGTAATGGTACTGTGTGGTTACACAGCAGCTTCTAGAGGGGGAGGGTCCCAATGTCTGTAACTTACCTTCAGATAATACGGAAGAAAAATATGTACATTTATAAAGATACTTGAAAACAGCCAAGTGTTAACAATTGTTAAATCTAGATTGACACATAGGGGATTAGAGGATTCACTGTAATTTTTTTTTTTTTTTTTTTTGAGACAGGGTCTCACTCTGTTGCCCAGGCTGAAGTGCAACGGTGTAATCACAGTTCACTGCAGCCTCAACCTCCTGGGCTCAAGCAATCCTCCCACCTCAGTTTCTCAAGTAGCTGGGAGTACAGGCATACACCATGATGCCCAGCTCATTTGTAAAAATTTTTTGGTAGAGATGGGGTCTCACTATGTTGTCCAGATTGGTTTCAAACTTGTGACCTCAAGCAATCCTGCTCTGGCCTCCCAAAGTGCTGGGATTACAGGCATGAGTTATCATGCCTGGCTTCACTGTAATTAAAAACAAAACAAACCTTGGCCGGGCGCGGTGGCTCACGCCTGTAATCCCAGCACTTTGGGAGGCCGAGGCAGGTGGATCACAAAGTCAAAAGACTGAGACCACCTGGGCAACATGGTGAAACCCAGCTCTACTAAAATACAAAAATTAGCTTGGCATGGTGGCGCACCTGTAGTCCCAGTTACTTGGAGGCTGAGGCGGGAGAATCACTTGAACACAGGAGGCGGAGGTTGCAGTGAGCCGAGATCACACCACTGTACACTCCAGTCTGGTGACAGAGTGAGACTCTGTCTCAAAAAAAAAAAAAAAAAACCTTTCCTGAAAGGAAAAGTTTTCTGTGAATACTGAGGGGTTTTTTTAAGAAAAGGAAAATAAATGAAAGGGAAAGCTTTCATAATAAAAAGTCATAATATTTTTTAAAAAGGAAGAGGGCTGGGTGCAATGGCTCACACCTGTAATCCCAGTAACTTTGGGAGGCTAACGTAGACAGATGGGTTGAGGTCAGGAGTTCAAGACCAGCCTGGCTAACTTGGCGAAACTCTGTCTCTACTAAAAATACAAAAATTGGCTGGGTGTGATGATGCATGCCTGTAATCCCGGTGGCTGAGGCAAGAGACTTGCTTGAACCTGGGAGGCGGAGATTGCAGAGAGCCAAGATCATGCCACTGCACTGTAGTCTGAGTGACAGTGTGAGGCTCTGTCTCAAAAAAAAAAAAAAAGAGGAAGAGGTACCGTGTCAAGGAAACTAGGTGAGAAATGACCCGAGAGACTCTTTTTCTCTGGCTAGATCCAGTGAAGTGCCAAAGGTAAAACATCAAGCAGAGAACCTACCCACAGAAGAAACCCAACCAACGCTGATTCCTTCCTGCCTCCCTTCCTCAGAGTTATGTTAATAACTTATCTCTGTGTAGCAGACAGAAACACACTCATCATACCATTCTCCGCCATCATCTCCTCTTGAGGACTCTCTGGGACAGTTTCTTCTGGCGCAGCCTGGAGGGAGCACTCTTCTGAAGTGTGTCTCAAACGCTCAGGGTCTGCTCTCTTGAACTGCTGCATTCGCTGGAGGACCAATTTTGCCGTGCGGGGTTTGGAGGGACTTGGCACTGCTGTTGTCAAACAGGAAGGAGGCGGCTGGGAGTCGCTGTTGGGCGCATTCTCTGGCAAGGAGGAAAATATTCACAACTGTCTGTTGTAGCTGGAGAAATAAAAGACTCGTCCACCAGATACAGGTTAGGTGTAAGTTTCAAGCGTCCTGATCAGCTAGTTTAGGTTTGACTCACAGATGTGAACAGGACTGGTTGCTTGTTCGTAACCTCTTTGTTTATGGCAATACAGACATAAATATCAATGACAGGAGGGAGTGGGGTGTGACTGCTAACCAGTACGGGCTTTATTTTTAGGATGAAAAAACTGTTCTAAAATTAGGTAGTGGTGGTTGTTGGACAACTCTGTGAATATACTAAAAACCACTGAACCAAACCCTTTTAAAGGGTACATTTTATGGACTAATACATCCAAATAAAGCTGTTATTAAAGAAATATTAATAACAAAGGTGATTGATTATGTCCTAGATCAGTTCTTCTTTAACTTGGGGTCCACAGGTGATCTTCAGCGGGGATCCATGAACCCCCTGAAGTTGTGTGGCAGTTTTGCAGGTGTGTGCATGGGTACATTTTTGGGAGAATCATGCATAGGTTTCATTTGACTGGAAAAGCGCACAAGAGACTAGTGAAGTAGGTAAGGCGGCACTGCGAGCCGAGACTCTACCACCACTCTACTGAGAGGTGATTCTGACCACATTAGAAAAAAAATGTTATTAAAGATCAGGAAGTAAAGGCAAGAAAATCTAGAAAGAAAATTCAGGAGCTCAGAGAGCCCACTGCGTATTATATACGCAAGGCTGGTCTTCACTTCTGCGTGAAGAACGTGTGCTAAGCATATCGCTCAGTGTACCACGGGCAGCAGGGCGGGAAAACTGCTTTAAACAAAAAAAATTGGCCAGGCATGGTGGTGAGCGCCTGTGGTCCCAGAGACTTGGGAGGCTGAGGCAGGGAGGATTGCTTGAACCTGGGAGGTCAAGGCCGCACTGAGTTATGATAGCGCCACTGCACTCCAGCCTGGTTGACAGACCAAGACCCTGTCTTTAAAAACGAAGTAAGTAAATAAATCAATAACAACAACAGAGGGAAAGATGAAAAGGTCTTCAGAGAGAGAAGAAAGAACCTGAAACTTCTGCTGGGACTTGAGCCCACACAGCACCCTCATGCAACCCTCTTAGCAGCCTATCCAAATTAGCCGGCCCAGTCCAACTTTACCCATTTTGGAATAAATTCAAAAACAAGAGAAGCAGCATTATTGTATTGTTTGTGTAACTCATGCCAACCACATAACAGAATTTCATAGAAAATTCTGAAAGCGCAGAGGACTCCAAACATAATCATGTGAAAATTCATACAGGGGCTATATTTTTCATGACTGTTGTTTAAACCAGGAATCAGATGGGCGCAGTGCCTCACGCCAGTAATCCCGGCACTTTGCGAGGCTGAGGCTCGAGGACTGCTTGAGCCCAGGAGTTCAAGACCAGCCTAGGCAACATAGTGAGACCTCTGGCTCTAAATTTCTTCTTTTTTTTTGAGAACGACAGTGTGAGTTTTCACTCATTTTGTTCAGCTTTTCCAAGGAATGTTTTTTTGGAGGACTCATCATTGACCTAAACTTTTTTTAAGCTTAAAAAAAACATTAAAAAGTAAACCAGGAGTTAGTAAACTGTGGTCATGTGGCTGGCTGCCTATTTTTATAAATAAAGTTTTATTGGCATATGGCCATGCCTGTTCATTTATATACTGTCCACACCTGCTTTCTCACACCACAGCAGAGTTGAGTAGTTGTGACAGTCTGTATGGCCTACAAAAACAAAATATTTATGATCTGGCCCTTTCCGGAAAGTTTTCCAGCCCCTGATTTAAAAGAGTACAAATTACCTCGGGTTTCCTCTCTGGAAAGGTCTGCCAGTGATTCTTGCCAGTTACCTGTCTGGATGTTTTGTGCTGTTTCCCAGAGCAGAGGCTGATCTGGAGCAGAGGCAGGCACAACGCCCTCCCCATTCACAGTGAGGGCCGGTTCACTTGCTTGGCATTTGGTCACCGCTTGCTTTTTAGCCCTAGAGGCCTGGCTGCCAGACGGAGGTTTCTTCTCTGCAGGGCGTTGAAGGGTTTTGCTCTTGGTAGCAGTTTGTTTGGTCCTTTTCAATTTGCTTCTTATCTGAGTGCCATTTGAGGCAGCCCTTTGTGCCTTCCTTTCTCCTGACACTTCCTTGGTTCCACGTTTTTTCACCCTTTGGAAAAAGCTAGCGCAGAGTTCTTTGAAATCCTCATCAGACTCATCCATCATCTGACCAGTTTTAAGGCTTTCAGGCTGGTCTTCAGAGGGGAGTGAGGGTCAATCCAGGGACATGTAGATAGATGAGAAAGTGAACCTAAGCCTAGCTCAGCCTCATTCACACTCACAGTTTCATTAGGGTTCCTCTCTATTTCTCCATTAACTACTTGGAGAGTTTGCACAGTCGAACAAAAAGTACCGTTTTCCTCTCTATAATGCTTGAAGTATCTTTGTTCAAATTAGGGCTGTGGTTAAACATGTTTCGAGCTTCCCTCTGTTAATGTCCACAGTCGGGCCGGGCAGAGTGGTTCACGCTTGTAATCTCAGCACTTTTGGAGACTGAGGGGGGTATCACCTGAGGTCAGGAGTCGGCGACCAACCTGGCCAACATGGTGAAAGCTCGTCCCAACTAAAAATAGAAGAAAAAAAAATACAAAAAATTGTCTAGGCTTAGTGGCAGATACCCGTAATCCCGGCCTCGGGAGGCTGAGGCAGGAGAATTGCTTGAATCTGGGAGGCTGAGGTTGCAGTGAGCCAAGACCGTGCCACTGCACTGCACCCTGGACAACAAGAGCAAAACTGTGTCTCAAATAGTAAATAAATAAGTAAAGTCCACAATTCAGAGAATGTTTTGTTGTCCAGTAGATGCCTCTGAGATAGAATACGTATGAACTTGGTGCTCAGATAATTCTCCAAGATCCCGATGATGATGAAGCATATGTGGTTCACTTAATTTCACATCTGTGGAAAACCAAAAGCATGTAAGTGTAATTAGACATTGTCATTTTATGCCATTTCTTCCAGCATGTGGGGTGAGGGAAAAGTCTTCAGATAACAATATTGTCGAATACTCAGTCCAGCCTGGTTAACATAATCTAACCATCCTATCAGACGTCACAACAGAAGGATCTAGAAGCCTGTCAAAGCTTGCTCTTCACAGGTATTAAAATATGTGCATCTTGGAGAGTGTTTTCTTAACTGAAATTTGGGGAGCAAACCCCATGAAAGGCAGTCACCATAGAAACAGGATGATCCCCAAGTCTAGGAAAACTGTCTCTAACACTGATCTAAGACCCCTGGCTATGAAAGAGGCTCCTTCTACAAACACTGCAATGTAAGAGACAGAAAGAGAAACTATATTCCCATGAACACTCAGGAGAGAAAAGGTCACTTTTCTCTATCTTCTTAACCCAGTGAGGGTCTGCAGACTTGGAGGCCTGGAATGTTCCCTATATGCAAAGGTTGGGCCTTTTGGGCATGGTTATTTACTTTGGCACACAGCTTAGTGGGTTTCAAAAATCAAAACTGAATGACCCAATGGCAGAAAGTTACTCCTTTCAAATACAATAATGCAGTCTCCACTGTCCAAGGAATCTGATTAATCATTTTGTTTTCCAGAGCTGAAAATACCTAGAATCTACGCTGTATGGCTGGCTCATTCTTCCGTGTCTTCCCCTTAGGGAAGTATACTGTGGACCCTCTCCATCCCCATTAATCCCTGTCATGGCCCACTGTTTTCACAATGGCATCTGTCATAGGTTATAATCATATGAAATAGATAATATTTGTTGAATGCTTACTGTGTGCTTAGCACTGTTCCAATTGCTTTTCAAGTCAAACTCATTTAATTCTTACAAGAAGCCTGTATGGTGGAATGTCCTGTCATCCTTCTTTACAGCAAGGAAACAGGAAATGGCTCAAAGCCAGTTCGGGAACAGCTTTCAAAGTGGCAGGGCTGAGATCAAACCCAGGTAGTGTGATTCCAAACTATCCGCTCTTGTATTTTTATTCATCGGCTTATTATGTTTCCCATTAAGCTCAACACTTCAGGAGGGTAGACATCGATCTATTTTACTTTGTATCCTCTGGTGGATCCGGTGCCTAACGTGAAAAGAAGTGCTCGACAACTACTTGTTGAATTCATGAACTGCAAAGAGTTCGGTATAATGGGAGTGGAGAGAAAGGTGTAGGGGAGAGGCAAGGATCCGCCCACACGGGCCTGGAAGGTCAGGCTAGGCAAAGTGAATTTTATCCTGCTGGCTGTGGGGAGCGGCTGGAACAAATTTCACCCTCCACAACTGGGTTGAACTCCACATCTCTGTTGATATGAACCTTACAACAGTCTATGTCCTCCTATAGGTGCCCGATCAGTATTTACTGAATGACATAAGGGATCCTGCAAGCCTGCAGGTTTCCAGAGGGAAGGGGACTTGCTCCTCCCTGCTTCGTACCTACCGTGGCGCAAGGCTCACAGCCGGCGCGGGGTGAATGAATGGATCGGTGCGGGGCGGACCCTCCCGTTTCTCCCAGCCCGGCGACCTAGGGAAAGAGGCTGAGGGATCCGCCTGGGCAAAGGGCTGCCAAGGACTCTGACGACTCTAAAGCCAGACGGAGAACCCCGATCCCCGGACAGGCCGGGGCCGAGACCGCTGTGGGGATCCGGATCCGCCACCCTCCTCCCTCCAGGCAGGCCCGGGTCCCTCTCCACCCGAGCGCGGCTCCTCCCTCTCCGTTGGGGCTGCTAGCCTGACGAGGCCACAGAGCCAGCGAGGGAGACGGGCGAGAAAGGCTCTTCTCCCTCAGGAGAGCGAGAACGGCCCGAGATGACAGGACCTTCGCCTCCCGGGTGCAGACTCCCAGCCCCACAGCCCGGCTCCTCCTACCTCCGGCGCCGCCGCGGCACCTTCTTAACGGAGACTCACGCTCTTGCGCATGCGCTTCCCGCGCCCCCGCGGAGAATTGTCTGTGCGCAGGCGCAGAGCGGGCGCGCGCCTTGGTGCGGCAGCCTCGCTTCCCGTCTTCCTCTGCGGCCCCGGGCGCGGGCGCGCGCCGGCCGGCGCTTCCGGTCAGCAGGAGGCGGGGCGAGGCGGAAGCGGCGTTTGCCCCACGTGGATTCTATTAATTGTTGAGAAAGGGTCAGGGCGAGTTTAGTGCACTGTGGCAGCTTTCTGGTTTTTCCCCAGCTCGCTCAGGAAATGTTCGCGGATATAATGGCAGCCCTCTCTAGGCACACCTGTCTGTGGAGCGGAGAGTGAACAGGGTGAGGGGAACGTGGGGAGAGGGAGCAAATCCAGACTGGGGACCCGGGGAGCTTGCTCTCAGGTGAGGCCTGGAGGTCGGGGAGCGTTAGCTACCTGGAGAGGGGATTATACCGCGCGTGCCGCGGCCTGGAGGGATGCCCGAACTCTTAGGCGCAGCTGGGGCAAAGCCGGTCAGGGCCTGAGGAAAGGTGGCAGAGGTTCGCCACTGGCTGGCATTTGAGGGACTTCATGTTAAGGCTTTGACCTTCAGCTTCAACGTCGGTTGTTTTTTGAGATGGAGTTTTGCTCTTGTCGCCGAGGCTGGAGTGCAGCGGCGCGACCTTGGCTCACTCCAACCTCCGCCTCCCGTGTTCGAGAGATTCTCGTGCGTTAACTTTCCAAGTAGCTGGGATTACAGGCGCGCGCCACCACGCCAGGCTAATTTTTGTATTTTTAGTAGAGATTTATTTTCACCGTGTTGCCCAGGCTGCTCTCGAGCTCCTAACCTCAGAGAATCCACCCGCTCGGCCTCCCAAAGTGCTGGGATCACAGGCGTGAGCCGCCGCTACCTGATTTTTTTTTTCTTTTTTGTTTAAATAGAGATGGGGGCGGGGGTGGGGGTGAGGGTAGAGTTTCACCATGTTGCCCAGGCTGGTCTCGAACCGTGTCCTCAAGCGATCCTCCCGCCTTGGCCTCCCAAAGCGTTGGGATTACGGGTGTGCGCCACCACGCCGGGCGTTAAGATTTTTTTCTTTAAATGCCTAATTACAGTGAAAACGGATGAAGCCAGGACACCTGTTGGGAGGCTCGTGTTGTGTAATCTAGATGAAAATGAGAATGGCCTGAGTTAGGAAGCAGAGCGAAAAGAATGGAGGAATGTTCTGCATTGTTATGACCTAATTGTTAACGATTTGCCGGTTTCTGGCCATAGCATCTGAGTAGTGTGCTTCTAGTCACGGAAATAAGGAACACAGAAGTGTAGAGGAGTCAGTTTGCAGGGAAAACAATATGATTTTCAAAAGATTTACTGTCATAAAATTCACACTTGGAAATGTACGTTCATTGGTTTTCAGTGGATTTGCAGCCATCATCGCTCATTCCAGAACGTTCTAAAACCTCGCATGGAAACAGCCACGCCCATTAGTGACCACTCCCCAAATCCCCCGACCCCATCCCCTGGCAATCACTGATCTACTCTGTCTCTATGGTTTTGCTTATTCAGTACATTTGATGAGGGTGGAATCGTGATACTTGGCCGTTTCTCCTGGACTTTTCTTAACCATGTTTTCAAGGTGCATCCTTGTAGCATGAATC